AAAACAATACTTTGGATGGTTCTTTATCTTTATAAAAAAAAAAAAAAAAAAACAATACTTTGGATGGTTTCTTTAACCCCCTATATATGTATATAACATAAGAATTTAAAATTTCCGGTAAATATTGAGGTTTCCGACTTTAACATTTTATGTTGATTTACTATATATGTAAGATATTCTTCACGAGTTCGTCGAATAATTTGTTTTTAATTATTAGACAAATTTTCATAATCTCACAAGATGTAACAGAGAGTATAGTAGTTTTTTCACTTAACGGTTGCTTTATAACCTAAAGCGAMTCGAGAAAGACATTGAATTATCTATACATAAATGTTGAGGATGAGAGATGGGTTGAATTCCAAGTCACTGTCCGTTTGTACGTCCTTGTAAGCAATAACTTGAGTAAAAATGAATGAATGAATGAACTGCGTTAACGTATTGGCACCTAAGAGAAGTTGGTATTGTCGAAATCGGACTACTTTCATACGCACAATATTCTATTTAACGAATACCTATAAAGTGCCAAACCTAAGAATTGAAGAATACTAACTGAAAAAAATTTACCATAAGCACCTTATCTTCAAGAAGTTATTAATCCCATATGGGCAGCTATAAAAATTTGACAATTGGCACAGCAGCGACCACCATTTGACTTGTCTAATTTCAATTACATTCGGTGAGCGAATTGGGAATATTCGTACCATGCCTACTTTCCATGTAACAAACTTTTAAATTCCATCTGACTATTTTACTTTTCAGTATACAAATGAAACACTAATGAGTTATCAGTTCAAAATTTTATCCACACAAAATTTGCGTAAGAGAGATTTCACGAATTTTCAATATGTATACTTTCGTTAAATTAACCGTTCTTATCATTTCTATYTAAATCTAAGCAGGTTTTTAGATTATAACCTATAAGTTGTGAGGCTAAATGAGAAGAAGCATTAAACTAACAAACTTTTTAAGTAATCATACATACATATGTGTGAAAAATCTGAATCCCAAAGACTCAATGTATTTAAATATAACAGTTTTTTTCAAATAAAATAAAAAATATGACTCTTCATGGAATGAAAGAATTATAAATATATTATTGTATCAAGAATAAATGCAGGTCCGAAATATGGGAAAGTATGTATTTTGAATGCAAATAACAAAAATTAAGTTTTGGTGTCTGTGTTGGAAAATCTACAAATKAAGAAACAGCAACTCATAAGCAAGCATAGATAGAAAGTGAGTCTACCTTTGCTTTAATG